AGATTATTCATTCAAACAAGGCTAAATGAAAATGGTACCAGTGCACTGTTGGTGATGTTACTGCAGAAAGATCCCCTTAAGAAATAAAAGCATGTCCTATGGCTGAATGTGTGCTTCCTCTCCACACACTGTCCCCCAAAGACACCTATCAAAATTTAATTTCAGTAGAGTGCAGCTATAGTTTGTGGTTCAAAAGGAAGTTAGAACTGCTATGAATGACCTTGGTAATTTACACCATCTATAGTTTCAACTTCCATGAACTCACCTTTATAGTGTTATTCCGAAGAGCATGGCACTGGCCTTACTCAATTCTGAACTTTATAAGTATAACCAACTTTGGTCTTTCACGTGATATGTGGAAAATTATGGCACATTTTTGCAAAGGAGGACACATAAAAGTACAGAGCAGAACTATAAGCATATAGCAAATGGACAGATACTTCATCATACATGCCCATTGTGGAAATATCAAAAAACCCCAACATCCCCCTCGAATGGTGCATCTGACACATTTTTATGTTCTCAGGCTTTGTGGCTAATGCATTTGCAAATGGGTGGGCATGCAGAGCATGGGAGATGGCATGGTAGTCAGGCTCTCTTCCCTGCTGCGTTATCCAATGACGAGGTGATTTTTGAGTGACTGTGTCTGTTGTGGCTGGGAGTCAGGTTTGGGAGTCTGGGTGATATTAGCAGCATCAGGGTTGCTCACAATCTTTTGCATGGCTTTGGGATTTCCTAATACTGCATGTTTGTAGGGAATGTCATTTTTACCACCGTACTGTGGGGATGTTTCTTCTCAAATGTTTGTACTATCGCCCTGCAATGGGAGCTCTTTCTCCTCCGTGTTACGGTCATAATGCACTTGCATCGCTTGTGTTAGGCTTTTAATTCCTTTTCCCTCCTTCTAGAAAAGCACTCCATATAGGTCTTCTAGAGTTCTAGGAATAGTAATAAAAAGAACCCTATTTCTCCTCCTCTTGGTCTCTTTTCCCTTGTTTCTTCCTCCATCTAGTACTTTCTTCCACTTCTCTTTACTGGAAGAGAGGAGCTGGGGGGAAGAGGGAGTCCTCTTCTCCAGATTACAAATGCTCAGGTAGGGCATAATCTCATTCTTTGATCCAGGAACTCTGCGGAAGGATGTTGGAACTGGCTGTATCAAAGGAAGAGGATGAAGATGTCTTGTATTTGGGGTTGTTTTTACAGCCTTCTCTGAATGTGTCAATATAAATCCAAAACGAGTCCATTGCAAACAGAATTTCCCTCTGTAGAACAGTGCAAAATAAAGGAGATTTGAATTGCTAGACAGGCTGTTTAATTCTACTTGTTTTCAGTTTTCTGTATAAATGATCCTGTTCTTTGCTCACGGATCAGGTCAATCTTGATACTTCTTTTTTATTCTAGATGTTTGTGGCAAAGCACTGTCTAGCTATCCTTTATGTCTCAATTTCTTCACTCCGTTGGAAAAGGTTTTCTTTGATAGTGTGTCAAAGCTTATTGAAGTTCTTGACATTAACTACTATATTAAATATAAAATATTGCATCCTAAAGTTGTCTCACTCTAGTTTATGTGACTGTTTTCTTTTGTCTGGGAATTTTACAGACGTGTAAGGCAGCTGCAGTTGGAAACCTGCTGCTGTGTCTTGGAAGCCAGCAGAAGTATTCTTTCTATGTGCTTTCAAACTACTATTTGGCTGAAGACAGTATAGTGATTCTTCAAGTCTGATATGTCAGCGTGTGCTGATGAAGAACTGTTTTAACTGAGGTGGTTTATTTAGTCAGTCTTGTTAAACTGTTTTGGCCATTCAGACTGGTCTGACGTATCTGTGCAGAGCCAGCTTTCATTGCAATCCTACTTAAAGGCAGTTTACAGGCTATTTTCTTTTAAGACTGATAGTTTGACCACAGACAAAGGGAATGATTTCTGTCTTCTGATGTTTTGTTGGTTTGCTATAAACTGAATAGTGATAGCTGGGTGCTTTACATTAGGAAAATTAATCTTTCAAATGTGACAACGCTTCTAAAGTAGAAGAGCTTGTTGCCCAATGGAAGGACCACAGTAACCAAGCACTCTAATCTGTATAGACCGTGTTTTTTCACCTTGCTTTTGTGGTTGACTTTGGCAAGTAGGGTACCTATAGCTACCTCAATGATCAGATTGGGCTGGGGCGTACTAATGCCTTGCTGGTTGCATGTGCTCACCATCACCTAAGCTGGTATTGGGTTTTTTTCAGTATTAAGGAGGACATGATTTAGACTGATAGTCTTGGGGTAAATCACTCAGCGAAATAGGATCAAGGTGACTATAAGCCTTTCTTACAAAAGGCAAGACCCTGCCCCCCACTGCCCAACTTCATGGATCAGACCAAGTCATGCACTTCATGTTGGTCCATTCCTACTCAGGTGCAAACCAGGAATGGATATGATTGGCAGCAAGTGGCTCAAATAAAGCAAAATGCTAACCCTAACAAAAATTGAGATTTGTTGCTGAACACTTAGTTCCTCTAATATTCCTTTCCTGATTTAGTGATTCCTGAATCTTGAAAGCTCTGTTTGTAGTATAAATGGAAATCAATAATTTGTTAATAGAATTTATATGCACAATGCAGTCTCCTATGGTTAAGGTTTTAAATCATTTAATAGAGCTTACTTAGTATTATTTACTACTTGACCTCATTAGGAAAAGATGGAAACTGTACTATCCTGACAAGCTGCAAACTCTTTAACACTTTGATCAGTGTTCTGATTGCTGTTCAGATTGACAGCTGCTGTACTGAAAAGAAAAGGAAAGGAAACTTGAAACCTGGGGGCCGTGCATGATATGGTATCGCAGTGCAGGACAGCATGAATCCGCATTGTGTGAGATTACCAGACAGTAAATCAGCTGTGCTGTGCTAGAGCCAAAAACCAGTAGCTTTCACACTTGCTGCCTGTTTCCCACTCATTGTAAAGCCCTGCCCTATCACTTGATAGACCTGGAAAGGAAGCGCAGAGGAAGCAAGTGCCACTGCTGGTTCAGAATGTTCCAGGACGACTGGAAAGTTTGAGCAATGGCCTGGGTGAGAAGAACAAGACCTTATTGACAGGGTTCAATCCTAGTCAAGTCTGTTTCCCATCAACTTCCTAAGTAATCACAGCCTTTCTTTTTTCATGTCCTTTGCACTCTCTGGATCTCCCACTTCCACCTCCTTTTTATTTTATACATATTTATTGTAGTGGACTGAGCAACCAAGGAGAATGGGGAAGCTTTCTTCCCTCTGATCCGCCTCTGCTAAATCCTGGAGGAATTACTAATGAAAAAGATGACAACTACATTAAAGGTAGTTGTTATCCCCTGCTTTGCCCCCATGTTCCATTGCATATTCTTTGGGTTTTTTTCCTGTCGATAGGGTCTTGTTCTTTTCATCTGACATACAGAAATACATACTGTTCCAGTGATGCCATGGCACATGTGGTTTGCCATGTTCCAGATCAACCAGTGTCATAGACTGATGGCTGTTGGGTTATGGCACTGTAAAGTTATGTGAACACATGCACGTACATGTAGTGAGAGAAGTATGTAAGCTGAGACTTTCTTGGTTTCAAGCTCTTCTAGACTGTGTAAGACTTTATGAAACACCTATACCATAAAGACACTCATTTTTTTCTAATGCTGCAGTTCTAAACATACAGCATCGTGCCCCTTGTACACTGCATTGTGCCATTTTGCATAGACTTATGCATGATTTTGTCATCAGTGTAGTACGCAGTCACCATGGGCAGTCCTGCTGCTCTAGGGCCTCCTAGTGCATCTCAGATTTCCTACTTCAGTATGTTATTCTCCTTAGGCTGTCTATGAGACAAGAAAAATTCATTTAATCTGAGGTGAGAGAGGCTTTTCTCTGGAGAAACATGCTTTTATAAAGAGGACCAAAGAGATGTCTGTTTAGTTTTGCACTTAAATGTCTCTGGCCATGATCATGGCAGAGCTGATCCACATAATAGAGTTTAAGCATGGAAGCATCGGTGGCACGTCATGTTTTTATGGTCTTTCTGTAGCAAGTCAATTGACTCTGGTGGAATACTCTTGCATGTTAAAGGAACAACAAGTTCAAAAAGTCAGTTAAAAGATGCAGGCTCTTTGGGCGTGGGTAATATTCACTGAATTGGTTAGTGACTGCTCTTTTGGAGGGGTAAACTTTGCTGGGTTTGTGATGGTGCGTACACATTTATAAGGATAATATGACTTACTGTATTTGGTAATCCTGGAAGTAATGATGCCAGGAAAATCACCTGATTTCGGTAAAACATATGCTAGCATGTATTTTGAAGTATTTGCTTTTTGGGAACTTTAATAATTAAAGCTTGACAAGGATTTAAAAGGAAGAAAAAAAAAAAAATCCCAACCCAAAGCAACCCAAACTCTCTATCCTCGAGGATATAAAAAATGTGAAAATGGATTGTATTTTGTAGTGTAAATACAGGGTATGCTAGGGATGTTTTCAAAACCTCAGTTGGTCAGGCAGGCAGAATTATTGCTGCCTTCAGAAGGCTCGTGGAGGAAGTGTGTGTGCAAAGGAGGCGCGAGCGTGACACAGTACCACAGAGACACATCAGTTTGCGGAGTATGCCAAGCCTGCATCAATTTTTCTAGAATGTTTTTCCTTCCCTATCTCCAAAATAGTTCAAATTCAATAACTGTGGTTAGGATATTTTGGAAAGACGTCCCCAGGCACTTTATAATGGAACTTGGGAAGAGATTCAAGAGACTGGAGTTCTCAACCAGCATTTGTAAGCAAGTTAGCTTAAAATATACTGCTTCTTAATCTAAAATTAACCAAAAAGCATCTATAATATTTTTAGGTCAGCGTATAAATTTGGAGAAATCAAAGTATATGCTTGTTGCCTGGTCAAAACTCACTGCAAATTTTTTTTTCTTCCCTTTTTCGAGACCTCAAACAGGCCAAATCTCCCAGGCCCATTCACTGTATTTCTAACATTTTCCTATATCTTACTCTTCCCAGGATGGATCGTACTTGGCTGAGTTCCTGCTGGAAAAAGGCTATGAGGTGAGTGACTCGGTGACCGGCTGTGGGCTGATGGAGTCGTTTGGATGCTGCAGCTCCGGCTTCCTCTGCTTCTGTCCTTCTCTGTGTATGTTTTCCACTCCAGCCCTAGATAACAAATCAAAACTCTGGAGAGGAATGTGCAGCATGGCCTGTAATCATGCCAGCTTATTGTACTATTTATCATCTAATGTCCACTGGTGGATTCCCTCTTCTCCTCAGGGTATAGCTGCTTTGCATGTTTCCCGCCAACTCAGATAAGCAGCAACCTGCACGAGCCAAAACTGTAAGGAATTAGGGAATAATTTATGATGCAATGTACCACATAAAGGAATAAGAATCTCTTGTTTGTTCTCTCCCCTCCTCCCACCCCGCAAAGGCCCTTTTATTTTGGCAGTTATACTTCAGCAATGAAAACCTTGCAATTTGCATTCTCTGTTTAAAAAGAAAAAAACCCCAAACAAACCAAAACACCCTGCGCCAAAGTATTCTTTAGTAGTGTTACTTCCCACCTCTTCTCTTGGATTAATTATAGTCTTGCTTAGCACATGATTTTCACTTACCTTTTCCTTAAAATAAAGGGAGTCTGATTTCTTACTTCTTGCTGCATAAGTTTCCCTGGCATAATTGTCTTTTCTGTGGCCCAGCAAAACAACATTCACATTATTATGGTATGATTTAATGGTTTTGAACTGTTCTGGGCACATATGTGAGAATGTTTGCCTTCTCAGTCATGAAAGATGCTTCCAAAATGTATGATCGTGGAGGGAAAGGGGTGGTCAAATTCATCTCCCCACAACGTAGTATTTTTCTGGGTTTTTAGTAGAAGCTAATGCTTGTTCTAATATTGGGGTTTATTACGTCTGTTGTAATACTGCTGCATAGCTTGGTGAAAAGTCTCTGCTCAGCCAGTCTGTGCTTTCCATGCTTTTGCACGTGGTTAATCTTGCCTTACTTATTCCATCCTTTCTCCTGCTTTGTTGATAGATCTGCTTATTGGTGTTGGATTTTCAGTGTTGTAAATTGATTATTTTTACTATTTCTCTGTTCCATTTGGGGAAAAGAGATACTGTGATTGCTTCTGCTACTTTAAAGGTAAAAGCACATGCTATCTCCTAGTCCACAATGAACTTGGGAACTACTGTGCAACAAAAATGAAATATAACCCTTTGCACAATAGAAAGGTTCCAATAATTGGGCAGGGGGCTTTTTCTTCTGTTCCTCAACTCTCCATCTATTTGTTGGAATTCTTTCCTGTGTTCCCAGTTAGAAACCTCTGTTCCTGAATAACTGAACACAAGACTACACATGATAACTGATTGCCTCCCTAACTAAGGTGGTTCGTTTGCCTTTTTTTCTTTAATTTCAATCTATTTAAAGATCAAGCCCTACTGAGAAAAATCCACTGATCCTACATTCTTAGCTAGATTAACCAGTTTGCACACATTTTGGCTTGTCACAAAGTTTGCATTTCACCTGTCCCATCCAGACAAAGGTACCTTTCATCATTTTTTTTTACGGTAATATTGCTGTCACGGATTAAGCATTTGGCAGGTTTTCTTTCTCTTGTACGTGCATACCAGAAAAGGAGTGGGAGAAAGAAAACAAAAAGAAAAAAAGCTGGGTTTGCATCTTTTCTTGTTACCGCTGGATGCAACAGGCTCTCTGGATTTGTTTGCTGAAACTTTCTGAAGTCCTGGGGTGATTGCATTTAGCACATCTCCTTGGTCAAATGTTGGTATTGCAGTCATTCAGCTCTTGCAAGCACAATCTTTCATCAAGCTTTGAGTCGGTAAGATTTCACTTATTGGTCAAGCATTTGCGTGAACTTCAATTTCAGCATGACTTAATGCAGAGATATATAATTGAGAGCTAACAAGTCTCTCATCAGGACTTTAAGCCAAAATATTTAACTTTGCTAGAAGAGTTGTAGAGCACTTCAGTTAGCTTCCTTTAGAATAATTTGATGCTTTAAAATGACAAAGTCTGATTTTTTTACTCAGCAAAACAGATGCTAATTTGAGTACTCAAAATATCTTCAGCATATTTTACAAAAGTGAAGTTATTATGGAAGTGTCTTTTTTTGAAAGTGTTTCTCTGTAAACCTTAGTCCCTATAAATGACCCACACGTTCTATAAATATTTTGATAGGGCTTTTAACTACATCACTGTGAAAATCTATCTTCATAAATTCATTATTTGAAGGAAATTTCTTTTGTGGGGCCATGTTTCTCAGTTCCCCATTGATCCTCAAAATGCAAATATTTTACTCAGTTGTGGAAAGTTTAGCGTTTGAATTGTAGAACAAGGTACGTTGTGAGCCTGTTGTGTGGCTGGGCACACAAGAGCTTTTATGCAAAGAAATTGGTGTCATAAATTCAGGTTGCAATTTGTAAAGATGAAGCTATTCGGCTGTTATTAGAGATCTTGCCATCAACACGTCGTTCTTAAAGCAGCAAGCCGGTCTCACTCTGCGGTTGTGCATACCTTTTTACTCAGTTAAGTTTCAGATTTAAGATGGAATAAAAAGTGGTTTCTGTGTCAATAATCATAGCTTGTGTTATGTGTAAAACAAAAATCCCCAGGCAAAACCAAACCAAGCCCCCAAACACTGCCTGTTCGTGCTGGTATATTCTCTCAGGTACAAGTTAACATGAAGCGAGAGAGAGTAAAGTGATGGCCCACCCCAACCAAGTGTTGAATGCATCAAACTGTAAGGGATCGCTTTTGGAAGTAAAGGGCAGGGAGAGGTGGAGGACAGTCAGATGCTGAAGCTTGATTTCACTCGTGCAAGCACAACTTCTGCAGCTGGTAACTTAAGCTCATGTGAATTTTGGCAGCAGGCATGGGGCTATCTTACCTAAGAAGGAAATAAGATCAGGGTTTTACCAATTTCTCTAATATATTAGACACAAATGGGCTTTTCTTTAATGTTAGTCAGAACCTGTGGGTTTTTTCACCGACTTACTTATCGTGGCTGGTTAAAGGAAATTCCCAACCCGCGTTTCAGCCTTAGGCTTGCCTGCGTGTCTCGTAACCCACTGGAGAACACTGACTCATGAGGTCCAGAAAACAGCACTGACTGTTCTGGCCATTCTTTCATCACTCCAGAAAGTGAATAACAGCTGTTTTCTAAAATATATTTGGGCCTTGCAGCTGCTGTCCCTTCTTTCCCCTTGTCTCTTTCGTCTCCTTTCTCCTTCCCTCCTTTCTGCCCCCTGTCTCCTTTCCCTAGCCCCATCTCCTGCTGCTGCTTTTTCCATGCCCATCATCTCTGGCTCCAGAAGGACTTCTCTGCAGCAGGGAGAAGTGGTTATCTTGGTATTCACATATTGCTTCTCCAACTCCAGTCATTGGCAAGTCTCACTCACTAAGAGATGGTGCTCTAGGGCAATTCAGTGTGTTTTCTGTACTGTATGTGATGCTTGGTCTGCTAGTGGTGTCAACAGGAGAGAAGGTGAAACCACTCAAGGGTACTACAATAAATATGACAGCATCAGAGCTCATCTCCAAGTATTTTGTTATGATTTGGATAACTGTCTGCCTTTAGGAATAGAGACAAGCTCTGATTACTTGATATAAGGGTTAGGCCAATGTATATGAAAAGAGCAATTATGATGATGATGATGAACACTTTCTTCTTAATACTAAACACTTTCCTTTTGTATTTTTCCTTGTTCAATCCCCAGGTGCATGGCATTGTTCGTCGGTCTAGTTCTTTTAATACAGGCCGGATTGAACATCTCTATAAGAACCCACAGGCTCACATTGAAGGAAGTAAGATTTTGTTTTTCTATTTAAGGTTGTTGTTGTGGTTTTGGTTGTTTTTTTTTTTTTTTTTAAGTCTATGGTGTGTGTTTGGAGAAGAAAGGTCCCTGGGAACAGGAAGGGAATCCCAGTTTCCTCTACTTAAACGTTATTAATGAGTAGTTATTTGTAAGCTGTGCTCAACTTAGGATCGGTTATTTAAAACAAAACCCAACCAAACAGTAAACGTTGATAGCTAAACTTCCCTTTTCCTAGCTTATGTTAGCTAGCGGCTCTATCTCAGAAAGAAAAGTGATGATTTTTCTCTGATGAAAATGTGACACAAAGTATAGATACGCTTGTGCATGTGAGTTACCAAGAGGGGAAAATATGAGAGGGGCCCAGGAAGGCACTTTCTCTGGTGTAGAAACGCTGACACAGTTCACACATAGCTAGGCAGGAGCAATTAGAAAACAGCTGGGCCTGCAAAAAGCTATGTGAGGTTGAAAACACTGAGATATCAGAACAGTAAAATGTGTTTTTTTGATGCAGTTATCTTAAGCATGCCAATTCTGTTTCCTCATGAGCTTCTTAGTGCCTGATAGAGGTGAAGGTTTGGGGACAGCCTGTATGACAGTGTCAGTAAGACATGATCAGGTCCTACTGATGACAGGAAGAATGAATCTCTGGACCTTCTGAATTTCTGCACCCAAGGAAAAAATTACCCGAAGGAAGGCATTGCTCTTGGAAATTTGCTGACAATTTACTGTATTCTCTGTTACCGATGATAATTTGGAAAGCTGAAATTAATACCTGTAGTGTATGCTTTGCAAACATTGTTTGAGTATTTTACCTTAAAGAAGTCTACCTGGTCACGGAATGAGAAGAATCTCAAAAGTTGTATGGCTCCAGTTCAGCAGAAGGATTGAGCATTTTAATAAGCATATAGTTCTTCATGCTATGCATATTTTGTAGAGGTGTGCAGACTGACACTGTCCTAAATAGTCTGATTTAAGGCATTTTAACACTAAATATCTCCATGCTGTAAATAAATCTCATGTCTTCTGAAGCCTACTTCCCATCATCGTTAAACAGTGCCCAATTTTATCAAATTGTGATATATAATACAACTTTTAGACTTCACTTGATCTTTGCTTGTAATTTTTAAAAAATATTTAATTTCTGACATGACTTCAGTGGTATTTGCTGTGAATGATCGCTACTTACTGTACACTGCTACTTTAAAATATCTGATTGAGAGAGGGGTAAAATTGAATAAAATATCTTCATGAAGAATGCTGAAACCTGTGCTTCCGTCAGGGACAATGTAAGAACTGTGTTTCCCATGACTTACATTCATGGCTCACAAGGTAAAATGAAGCAAAAGAAATCAAACAGGAACCTGTGCATTGTGAGGACCATCTTGTGAACATGAAAAGTGATTTAAGAAGACAATGTGGATCGTGATAAAGAAGTATACGAACATTTAAGGAAAGGGATGGAAGAAAGGAAAAAGAAAGCAGACCTTAAATGTTTTTCCCCACTTCTTATCTCATTTTCCTTTAACTGAGGAATGCAGCCATATGAATGGGAGGAGGAGGAGAAATTGAACTTGGATTCTCAGGAAAGGCTGCTCCATGGAAACTGTTTGGAAACAATGGGTTTCCAGGCAGTACTAGAGGAAGCAAAGAAGCAATAGCGGTTGATGTGAGCAAACCCTAATTTTGTCTTTGCCCTATGTGTTCTTCCCGTGAGGAATTGATTACATGTTGCAAAATTATGATCTTCATAGCCAGCAAACCTCTCTCTAAAAAAAAAAAATAGGGAGAACAAGAAGGAAAACAAGGTGTTCCTGAAGTAAGCAAGCTATTGCTTGCTAAGGAGGTTTTTAGATTGAGTAATATTACTAAAACGCAAAGGTTTTGACATTTGATCTGTGTTTTGTAAATCTTTGCACCGAATAAACGCCCTTTCTAGCAAGTCGTTCCACTTAGCCCATTATTCTTGAAAGACCTCTTTTTCATGGATCAGAAAATGAACAGAGCCTCATGCCCTGCTCCCCTTCAGAAAAGCCATTTGGACAAGAAGCTTTGAAGACTTGATGGTAGACCAAAATGTGCATTCCCCCTTGAGAGCTTTAAATTTAAGTAATTGTGGGAGGGTATCCCTGATGCTCAGCATGGCCCAGCTGGCAACCCACCTTCCCCGGCAAGCTTGAGGCTGCTCTCTGGCCTGGGGATGGTGGCAGAACTGGATGTCTTTGGTGTAGGAAGAGGGAGCCTGGCTGTGGCACCTCTTTTCTGCTCAGCTGCTGCTTAGGCTGGAGGGGAACCAGTTGCTCTTTCAAATCCTAAGGCTCCCACAGAGCTGCTGCAGCTCCTTGGGTCTCCTCTTGTAATGGCATCCTCTGCTCTGTCCTCTCTGGACGGCTGGCTCAGCTGGCAGGGAGATTTCATTTAACTCCCAGCCCAGGTAAGCAGAGGGAGAAGAGCATCCCCCTGTTGCCTAGGGGAAGCTTTGTTTTCTGGTAGAAAAAGGGTAGTGCATTTGGGTTCCTCACTGCTCCCACCAGCCCACAGAGTTATCCTGAAAAAGGTGGGATCTGCCATCAGAGAAATGGGTTAGGTGGTGCTTGCTCTTGGTCTCCATTTAGTGTTTCAAGAAAAATGCAGCAGTTGTTAAAGTAGCCTGGACACAAACAGTTTTGAGGATTGCAGGTTAATACTAATATCCGAATAGTTTTATTCTATGGCCATTTGGGATCTGGTGCATCTTGTGGCCCACAGGCAGAACAGCTTTCATGTATTGAATTTCATTTGGGAAGAGGACACTTGCAGTCCGTACAAGTGGAAATATGGTGGTGTTCTAGCACAGCCTATATAGAACTGGCGGCAGGAACGAAGGCAGCCCCCACACCATGGGTAATTGCTGTGTATGCACAAAAAGGGTCATAACCTGCTTGCCAGCCCTCATATTTAATCCCAGTTATCACTTTCTTTTAAAAAAACCATTCTGTTACCTGTTAGCCACAGATTCAGCTGGGTCTTAAAGTCACTTCAGAACTGTCCAGCAACGTGGATGGAGAAGCGGATTTCAAGAGCATATTGCGACCTGCTGGGCTGTATCCCTTTATCAACCTGAAGAGCCTCAAGTACCCGTTAAATAGGAATGTGCAAAGCAGAACACCTGAGAACTGCAGGATCTGTTACTTTCTGTAAAAAAAAAATCTGTTACTTTTCTGTTTAAAAAACAAGAAAAAAATTAACACCCCCCCCCAAAATGAATAAAACCAAAGTTCGCATATCTCTACATTTAAAAAAAAAAATGTACTGTCGATTCAGATGGTAGTCTCTTGTAATAAACCTTGTATTACTTGGTTTCAGGTTTAAAAAAAAAAAAATCAAGTTGATTATATCTGTAGATGATACAGTCCCAAAAAAATGATGACCTTTGTCAAATGGGAAGACTGCTAAATTGTACTAAAATAGGAATTTCTTCTTTTTCCTGGAGATAGGGCAATGTAAACATAAAATTATTAAGGTCAAAAACATCAAATGAAAGTTTATGTAAATTACAGCAAGTAAATGTAAAGAGCTAATGCATCAATAGTTATAACAAGATTTTTCTTTTTGTTGACTAGATATGTGCATAGCAGTGTGATGGTATGATTTTTTTTTTAAATAAGAGGAAAATTAGACCTGTTTTATTAGGATGAATTTCACTTCTGGAATAATTTCTTGACAGGTCAGAGTCTGAAACCAAAGACAAGTTGATAAGCTGTTGCAACCTGCTCTTTTAACTTTGACAGGAGCTGTTCTCATGCTTTTACCTACTTTTTCACATGCAAATTAGAAAGTAACTCAGTTGGGAAAGGTTTAACAGCTGTGTGACTGACATACCTAACCACACTTGAGATTTTGCTGTGCAATATCATGTAGCGTGTTTCATAGACAGTTACAATGTTCTCTGAAATTGCTTTCCAGTGTGTAGCTATATTTTTTTAAATGGAAAAACAATAATAATACATGCAGTGGGTTATACTGTAATGTTATCTAAATGTTCACCTTGTAGGTACCTTAGGCATTTTTGTTGTGTTATGAAATTGTTTGCAGTGAGGAACTTGAAACATGTGCAATGTTTTGGGAAGGAGGAGAGAGCTATTGGTGTATGCTTAAGAAGTTATTAAAAGCCTTTGGAGTGAAAGATTGGAAGCCTAAACTAAAATAAGGTGCTTTTCTGTGGCTGAAATACTGTATGTGAGATCGATCTAATTTATACAGCCTGTGTTAATTAGGTGTAAACTATTAAACAAATGACATAAATGTTGCTAGGAAAATCAGATTTTTGGAAAGAGAATCTGAAAGGGTATTCATTACTTCTGCAGGGAAATATATTTTGTGCTTAAAGCAGGGGAAAAACCCAAGCAAAACCTTGTTCAGGTGGTGATCTCTTAACTTTTTCCAATAAATGTTTACTTGGTTTTAAACCTGGAATGGGATTTGGACCAACTACGCCATATTATTCTGGGACTAAAGTGTATTAACTGTGTGTTCTTAAACTCTGAAGACATGAAGCTGCACTATGGTGATCTCACGGACAGCACCTGCCTGGTGAAGATCATTAATGAAGTCAAACCCACTGAGATCTACAACCTGGGAGCTCAGAGCCATGTCAAGGTGAGTAGCTTCTAGCACTGAGAATTGTGCGTGTGCATTGGTGATGGTCATACTGCTTCCATTCTTTTGGACGATGGCACTTACAGCCATTTTAACAACTGCTGGCTTTGACAGGTAAACGCTGCCTTAAATCAAGATAGTTGTGTTTGTTGCAGCGCTGAATTACTGCACGTGCCTTGCTACTGAATATACATTAAGATGTCAGAATAGGTGAAGTTAAATTGTCATTATCAGCAAAATCCACGGGTTTAAAAACCTGATTTTTCTACCCCGTGAAACAAATTTTGCTGTAGAGTTTGCTGCTGATCAGTCACAGTGGAGAAGTTATGCAGTGGTGTTAGGCCAAACAGCGCTTAGAACCACATTATTCCGTTTGCGTTAAGGTCAATACGTGTATCTGAGCGTGTCACTTCTCAAAAGGCTTTGCCTATAGCACTTCTCATATATGCTTTGCCTATAGCAGTTTTCATGCAGATCTTATTCTTTGAAAGATTGACTTACAAATAGAGGAAACAGCTTTGCAACTACTTGCAGTATTATAACATTTCTGGGTTTTTGGTTGGAAAAATCAAGTTATAGAAACTGAAACAAAAAGGACTTGTTTGAAGATGAGTAACTAGTAACTTAACCCTGGCAAGTAGCGCTGCATCATAAGGTAAGAAAATGAATAGTAGAGAGGATAAATATAATTTGTGTCTTACATATGTTAGGCTACCTTGCTGCATCATGGAAAGGCTCAGTTTACTAACAGGTGACCTCTATTTACTTGCAAAAACCTCATTCATACTTCAGTTAATGATTACAAACTGAAACTGATGGCCAGGTAGCAAATCATCATTAAAGTAAATTGTGTGTCAGTCATATGTCCTCTGCTTATTGTGTGCAATATGAAAGTATTCTTAAGCAGTGATATTCCCTGGCTTCTCTTAAGGTGAGAACTGAAGGAGCATTTAAGCCTCATGAAAATAAGTTTGCCTTTAGTTTTGTAAGTCAGCCTTCCTACAGAAAGGGATGTGTTGTTCCTACTACTCTGTAAGCCTTGCAACCCAGCAAGAGGCAATCATGTTGAAAGACTGAAGTTATTGACAAGACAAATAGCAGAATATTGAGGTGAAATGAGAATAATTTTGCTTTTAAATTGCTTGCATGATTGAATTTCCCGGTTTTCTTTGTGCTAAGCAGGAGTCTGGTTGGGCTTATTAGTTTAGGTACAGCAATGTAAGAACAAAGCCACATCAGTCCAAAGGCAGCTTTGGTCCCACTGCTTTGTAGAGTGAAACCTGAGCCACCAAACCTTGCTGGGTATTTGCAGTCCACTGCTAGGTGTTCCAGCATTTCTTTTCTTGAATAACAATCTCCATGGAAATTACTTGTGTCCCTTAGTTAGTGTTAGCATGGTACCAATGTTCTAGTCCCAAACTATCTCCATGTGGCTGCTACAGCTGCCAACAGCTCAAATCACAGCACTGGGAGGGCATGGAGGGGTGGTGGTGGTGATGCTGCTGTAGGTTCTTGCAGAACACTGCCATGCGCTGTGGGAAAGTTTATTCCTATTTATGCATGAACATTTTGAGCCAATGCAGATCTGGCACTGAGTCTTGGCTTTTAGAGCTCAAACTTGCCTTGGAGTGCAATGAAGAGACCTCAGAATGGCTCTCTTAGAAGCTAACCTGAATGCAGTAGGCCAATATTTAAGCAATGTTAGAAGTCCTACTGGAAGTCTAGATGGACTTCTTCAGGCTGTGCTTGTTGTGCTTCCTAGCATCTCCAGTAATGCTCCTGTTGTCGCAGTTGAGGTAAGAACCTAGGTACCCCAAGTCTACTTGTTAACTGAGGTGATTGGGAGACTTGACTATGGTATCGATAGGACTTAAAAGCAGTCCAACAGTGCTTACCATTTTAAAACAGCTCCCAATGTTAGAAGCAGGAGTAGAACTTGACCGCCTGTTAGGCGTGAATGTCTTCACCAGAGACCTGAACAGCTCTTACCATTAAACTTTGGTTATGTAAACTTACTGGTTTTGCCTGTGTGCATCATGTTTGGGGAAGGAGGGAAAAGAATGTCTAATCTTAGCTTGCTTCACATTCTGGTGACTTTGAACCAGTGATGTCTTCAGTAATTTTTGATGGTGTTTATGTTGGCTTGTGTTTATGCAGAATAAAGTTTTTTTGTCACTCTCACTTCCAGTTAGTTTATGTGAGCTGTGCTGAAATGAAGGAAAATAAAATAATAGGAAGTTGGTCTGGTTTCCTGTAGGAAACCAATGAAGATGAAATTGGTTCTTGGAATGAACCCACAGTAGTCTGGGAAATACTGTCAGAGAAGACGTTTTTCTGAATCATAAATAGTGAGGACTATGACTCATAAAGTAGGTCACTGAGAGGCTGATCTGGTCTTGTGCATGGGAGAAAGTGAGAGAAGACTGAAACTTGCTCCTTCTTAAAAACAGTAAACTTAACAGAATGATATCATCAGTAGGAACAAATTATCCAGTGTGCATTCCTGTCTGTTTTGGTGAGAAATGGGGATTAACTCTCCGCACTGTAGCTTCTCCATTGGATGTTCAGAAAACAGTAGCACATTCACTTCATAGTTACTAAGTAAACAGTTTAGCCTCCTTTTCTCTATGCAGCCTTTATATGTCCTGCTGCTTTGGCTCTTGGTGCTTTGGGAATTAAGAGTGCCGACCGTGATTTGTTTTTGTTTAATTAGGTTTTGCGGGAGTGATTGTTTACACTATATTGATTCTAAATAATAATCTATTATTGTGTATAAGTAGCATGCAGATGGATTGATCTAAATTCTGTTATCCGTAATTCTATACTTATTCCTCCATCTGTTGAATGTCTTGAAAATCAATTATCCAAATGCTAGGTTGGCTAAAATGATCTAAATGTCTCTTCTTGCATAGTGTTTCAGGAGATGCAGGCACGTAGTTATGAACTTGTAACTATTTTTTTTTTTCTGAAGGGCAAGTGATCTCATCAGTATTTGACTGTGCTGTAAGATTTTTTGTTTTGAGTTGTATTGAACTGGTGAAACTGGTAAACATTGTCTTATAAATTTCTGAAGCAAAAAGGCAGTGTAACCTTAGTGAAAGATCCCTTGCTGTCAGCACTTGAAACTTGTTGCACTGGGCAGTTAAACATAGGACTTAAGAAATGTCTTCAGTTTTATGGCTATTGCTATCCTAGTAGTCATGTATTAAATACTCTAGGTCCAATTTGGCCATAGTGCAGGTAGCCACAACTGCTCAGTTTACTACTTTAAATTGTGTTGTGTAGCAGAAGGTTATTTTGCCTACTTACTGTTGGCATTTGTTGTGAGAAATTTTACAGTGAATGTGTTTTATGAGATACGAAAATAATAGGTTGACTTTTCTGTGATAGCTGTTCCTTACGTATACAACATGGGTGTATTATTGAAGAGTAAAACCTTACTGGCGTGTAACTACATTTTTTAAAGCCAGTAAATGTGAAGAGGTTTGGGTTTTTTTCACCTTGCAAGATACAGGGGGTTTTGTTCTTTAGTTTAGGGGATATTAAGGTTCTATTTAGTTTTAAATCCTTGCAGACGTATGGGTGCTTGGAGTCACACGGGAATTAATTTTAAGAAGCAAACCCTACCGCTGTTAGCTGAAAGGTGAAATGTGAAAATCAAGGGTGTTTTAGCATACACTCCCTCACTTGAGTGAGGATCTCTTTACACCTGTCTATTGAATTCAGCTTTATCTCTAGCTCCTCCATTTTTCCTTCTATATTTTTGTGGTCTCCAAAGACAAGGCCCTCAGTCCTGAGAAGCCTTTAGTCTCCTCTTTCCCCATGCTGGCAAAATTAAAGAACTTATTTTTTCTTATTTTGTGTTTTTATCTGCATCAGATACTGACCCCTAATTGCTGTGAACCAAATATGTTACGAACTACTAATTGATATCAGCTACATGCCTGTCACTGTGACTATATCTGTTTTCATGCTGCATGGAGAGTGAAGTGGCAGCAGGAAAGATGAAGAAAAAAAAAAATAGCAACAAGGTCTTCAGAGTCCATGAATCTGCTCTCTTGAAGTCCAGGATTGTGATCCTGCTTTTTTGTCTTGCTCCCTTCTGTTAGGATCCTGCACTCTACCATCTCATGATCACTGCAGCTAAGGCTGCCGTGACCAGTTCTTCCTTGACTGTAAGAATTGGGTCTTCATAGCATTTTTCCTTGTTCAGTTGCCCGTGTCAGGAGGTTATCAATGCACTCCAGAAACCTCCTGGATTGCATGTGCCCTGCTGTGTTGTCCCTACAGCAGATATCAGGATGGTGGAAGTCCCTCATGAGGACCAGGATCTATGAATGTGAGGTGTCTCCCTGTTATCTGAAGGAAGCCTTATCTACGACTACTACGTCATGTTGTAAAGCCTGTTTGTATCCCTGGACTCCTCCTGCTCGTAAACCCTATGGGAAACAGGTCTTTTTCATTTCCTGCCATCGTCTTTTATGGGATGCTTCTTCCTGCAGTTGTAACTGTGGTTACGAACGATTGCTGGGGGGCAGATGGTGCTGTGCAACTTTGTGTTGAGGAAGGCAATGCTTAGGATATGGTATGGAAGCTGGCATCCTTCTGTTTAGGGCACAAGTGAATCAAATAATTAAAAATATCTGTTGCTGACTTTCTCCTGCAGGTTTTATCAGTGATATTATAGGGGCAGTCCCCTTCCCTCATCCCCTTTCTGCCCATTAAGTTAGTATAGTTGAAAATCATCTATGAGAGGGTCTGTGCAGGAGAGGATGGTGGCACTCTGAGGCAGTCTCATATGAAGAAGGTACTTCCACAGCATATATCCAGTGAGTACTTAGCTAGGAGGGAAGTCAAGGCAGAAGCTTAAATAACTTAGCCCAGAACTGAGAACTGAAGTCTCCTGATTGTTGAGTTCTGGGATCCATTCAAGGTCTGTCTTTGTGCCATTCAGTAGCTCAGCTGGGGAATGTGCCCTCATTGCAGAACAGCTCTCTATT